GGAGGTTTGAAATAAAAACTTTAAATTGAAATTTTACTTTTAAGATTCATGAGATTTGGGGGGCTTTGTGTTTGTTTCTTACTCGACAGAGTTTAAAAAAGATAATCTTTATCTTAGAGAGAGCAAGGATAAATCAATTAATAAATCAATAAATAAGCAAATAGAATACAAATCCAAATTTGTTTATAATACTGCCTTAGGAATGAGGGCAGATTATCTCTCTATCTATCTATCTATCCATCTATCATCTTATTGATAGATGTATGTATATACATAAATATATATGTATGCATATTTAAGTATTCAATTTTGGTGAAAATCCACAGTTGAGTGTAAATAAAGTATGGAGTAGGCTTGAATCACTAAGTTTATAATTCAGGTAACAGTGAGAGGATCTCACTGATTGCACCTCTTCTTTACCTCCACCGGAAGAGGGACTGCTATATTGAGGCAGCCTGTGGACCTTGGTGTTCTCTGTTGTAAGAAGACCTAAATGTCCTTCCTAAAAAATACTTCACCCTAAACCTACATGAGTTCCTTTCTTATTAGTAATTTTTTAATCATCTATATCATCTAAACTATTCTTTATTTTTCTAAATTTGTCTAAGTCATTCTTTTTTAAAATTTTTTAAAAAAATTAATGTTTATTTTGAGAGAGAGAGAGAGAGAGAGAGAGAGAAGGGCAGAGAGAGAGAGGGAGACACAACTGGAAGTAGGCTCCAGGCTCTGAGCTGTTAGCACAGAGCCCAACACAGAATGCTAACTCACCAACACACCTGAGCCGAAGTCAGACACTTAACCCACTGAGCCACCCAGGTGCCCCTGATGTAAACCATTCTTAAATCTGTTTCTATTTCTAAACAGTGCCCCCTCTTGAGATAACACGTTTAAAACTTAATTACCTAAGGAAGCAGGCTTTCTCTCTGTTGTGACAGTACATTCATGACTATGAAAACTCCAACAGGTCCTCAATTAGGGAAATTTTGTCTTCATAACCCTCATAGTGTCTCGTGCATCTTCACATGAAAGATTTGTAATTAATATATGCTAACTGAACACCCTGTGAATTGGCTAGAAAGGGGACTATTTTTGCTTTATCTGCATCTTTGCCTACTATAGAAGATTGTTTATACTGTTTTTTTCTCCTTCACTTTTCCTTCATAGTCTCTACTAAATTAAAAATGCTACAATATTTGAGTTTGATTATATATCACACAATCTCATTAAACTCCAAAGTCTTTTTGTGTCAGAATTTCCACAAAAGTAGGTAATATCAAAGTGTTTTGAAATAAAAATCATAATACAGAAGAGTACAAAATTAAATCATATTTATTATAAATATATAAACTTTTATCCAATAATCCATTAAATGTAATTATTTTAAGCTTGAAAATTCAATATTGGTACATAAAATATCTTATAAAATGCTTCACAAATATGCGTGCCCTTCAGGAAAAATCCAAAAATTAGCAATAATGTAAAAGGAAAAATAGAAATTAAAATCAAGATGACTTCTTTCTCTCTCTCTTTTTATAAGTTTATTCATTTATTTTGAGAGAAAGAGAGAGCTCACTGCAAGAGCAAGGGAGGGGAAGAGAGAAAGAATTACAAGCAGGCTCTGCACTAGCAGTGCAAAGCTCGACACAGAGCTCAACCTCACAAACCATGAGATCGTGACCTGAGTTGGGATCAGGAGTCAGATGCTTAACCAACTGAGCCAACCAGGTAGGACTTCTCTTCAAATAATATATATATATATTTAAGTTTACGTATTCAAGCTGTTCCAAACATATTTGCTTTTTTTAAAAATTTCAGTGTAATTCACATACTGTGTTATATTAGTTTCAGGTGTACAATATAGTTACTCAACGGTTTTATACATCACTCAGTGTTCATCACAACAAATGTAATCTTAATCCCTTTCACCTATTTCACCCCTTCTCTGAAACACCTCCCCTCCGCTCTAGCAACTACCAGTTTATTCTTTCTATTCATTGTTTTTTTTTTTTAAGTTTATTTATTTATTTTGAGAGAGAGAGAGACTGTGAGCAGAGGAGGAGCAGAGAGAATCCCAAGCAGCCTCCACACTGTCAACGCAAAGCCCAATGACCTGGGGCTTGTACTTACAAGATCATGACCTGAGCCAAAATCATTAGCCGGATGCTGAACAAACTGAGCCACCCAGGCACTCCTGTTGTCTATATTTAAGAGTCTGCTTTTTTGTTTGTAAAGACTCAATTTTTGAAGAGACATTTAAATAACTTCAATCATGTAAAAAATAATATTCATGAAGTGAAGAAAAATTTCCAGTTTCATTCATAAAATCTTTCCAGTTAAATATATTTTTCAATGTATGAACAAAATATTATCTCTAAGGAGTAAAGGATTTTAAAATGTAATCTGGAAAAAAATATATATATATATAGCTAGAGTGTTTTGACAGGGCTACTCAACCTTGGGAGTTTTGAATCATTTGGAAGATACACAATTCTGACATGATAATCTAGACATCTAAGTTCTAGTAAGTTATATCAGTCACTTTCTGTGATTGCGCTTCACATGTATTATGGCATATTTTTTAACTGACTAAGATTTTAGGATATAATTATGGATTAATTTTAAAAATCTATAAATTAATATAATCTATAAATTATAAAGGATCTATGCTGGTACTGCATAAACCTAGAAGTAATTTTTTCAGAGATCAGAATTTTTGAAAGATGCATACATTTTCCTGATGGGTTCATTCATTTGTTTTTCAGTTGTTTGTTTACGGTTTACTTCCTTAACAAAGTTAATTAACTGTTTTCACAACCATATATGTTCAAGAACTACTTCTTTGGACAGATTTGGCCGAAGGTGCCCGAGGAGGGTAATTCACAAAGAGTATAATACTGTTGTGTTAAAAACTTCATTCAAGACATTTGATTTGAACTTTCTAACTGCCTTCAAAAAACAACAGGAACAATCTGACTACATATTTACTGAGAGATAGTTCAAGGATCTGCATTTAATTTTTATTAACAATTTCAGCAAAATTATTAACATGAATTAAGTAAGTAAATAGATGATGCCTAGAAATCCTGTTTTTCTCCAAAACCACAGCAACTGAAAAAAGAAACCAGCAATCCAAAGGCAAAGAGAAACTCACCCTAGGCTTACCATCCAAAAGCCTGTGTGAGAAATTATAGTTATTTTTATTGCCAGGTAGTTTAGGTGACAATGTTTAATTTGGCCTGATTTGTAAGTTAATGGGTTATCTGATGCACTGGAGAGTATACTATAATTTTCCTAACCACTCCAGCCTCTTGGCAACTTATTTCTTAGAATATATAGACTAAAATAAATGGGGATTTTTTTCCAAGTTAATACTATCCCATGTGGTCAACTAAGGTAATGTATATAAGTAGTTTTTCCTATTAAAATTCTGTATTCCAGCAATGTATGTTATAGACATTATTCTACAGCAAAAGCATCTAGAAAATTTAGGCAATTACCTGAAAAATGTAGGTCAAACACTAATCAAACTGACTCACTTAACCCTGGTGTGTGAACTTTGAAGATGAGCACCAGGCCATGATGGTCACTACCCTTCTAAGCCATGTTTAGATTTGAGCATGTTTTAACGTGGTAGGAGAGAGAACACAGTCAAAACATACTGACTTTTTAAATAAACCATACACTTTCTTATCATTGGTAATACTGGTCCCGAGAGAAAAGAATGCTGCAATGCAGAAGGAAAATGAAGGCCTGGCATTGGTTTCTAATCTCTTGGCGCCATCTAAGCCTTTGTTAGAAATCATTATAACTCCCTTTTCCACTCCTCCTCAAATCTATATACTACAACGGAGCCAAAAAAAGTCTATGCTTCTTAAGTTTAATGTTAAATCAAGGACAAGCGTTCTTTCAGGAAGTATGATAAAGTGAATTGGATTGTTTCAAGATGTCATCTGCCATCACATTTTGGTGAGAAGATAAGTGATGCCTTGTTAAGAAGAGACCAATGATAGCCTGGTCAGGACAACACTGTGGACTACTCTGTGTTTTTTTTGGAGCCAAGGCTCCTTGGATGTGGCTATTCA